CTGCCGGGACTCCGCGTCCCCGCCGGACCGGGGCCCCGGCCCCTTTAACAGACGCCGCTCAGCCTACCCTGCTGCGCCCGCCCCGCCGCGCCCATTGGCTGAGCGCCGCCGGGGGGAGCCGCAGCCCCGCGCGCTCATTGGCTGTCGCCGGCAGCTCGCCCCGGCCGTCCGCTTCCTGCTTTAAAGTTACCTTGAGAGGCAGCGCAGGGGTCAGAGCGGCGCCCGCCCGCGGCCCCCTCGGCGGCGGGGCCTTGCGCCCTCCTCTCCCGTTCGGCGACGCCTATTGGCCAGCTGACACGCGGAGGGGCCGCGCGGCGCCGCTGATTGGCCAGCGCGGCTATCGCTTCCAGCAACGCCCGCCCCCTCCTCCGGCGGCGAGTCACGGGGCCGCGCGGGAGGGCGGAGCGCAGAGCCGTTCCCTGGGCAGCGCGGGGCCGGGTTGGCGGGCAGCGCTGCGGGGCCGCCAGTCAGGGCACCCACCCGCCGCTCAGAAGCGATGCCGGGAAATCGCAACAAACAGAATGAAAGCGGAGGCTCTGCCCGACCTCTGCATCCCGCGGTCAGCGGTACCCGCTGCACCAAACCCAGCGGTCACACAGAGCCGTGCAATGCCAGCAGCATCACGACAGGCTGTGCCCGTTCGTCACCAATGCACAAGGGACAGCGTGCTGCGCAAGGTTTTTGGCCAGCAACGGAATGAGGCTCAATGTAATAACAGCAGCTCTGACCAAAAACATAACCTCGTTTAAAAAAAGCGTGGATATACCTATCAAAAGACATGCGATGTTGCCACGGGCAACGGCAGTGCCTGCTGCCTGATGTGCCAGGTGTGTGTGCTGTGTCTAAGACCATGTTTGCAGTCTGCTCTGCAGAACCAGCTGGACCCCCATTCGGCTGCCTGCAGACAAAGCACCACGAGGAGGCAGACTGCAGACCAAGGGGCCACCAGCGCCGTTCGTTCCCTGTGAGCACTCTGAGCCTGCCGCTGCTCCACAGCCAGCAGATAGGGAACACTACGGCCTGAATGGAACCGAGCCGACCGCAACAGCTGTTGGCCCTGGGCAGCGCTTCTGTCCTTCCCTCAGGAACCGCTCAGGACTCAGCACAGAGCCGCGCACACAGCACAGTTCTGCCCGGCCCAGCCCCTCCTAAGGCGTGCGGAGCAAAAAAAAAATAAAAATAAACCAAAACAAACGGGTATCGGTAACAACTGGTAACGGGACGCGGAACCGAGCTGTCCGCAGCAGGGCCCACACACAGGCACAGACTCGCCTAGGCCTCGCCGCCCCCACCCCGCGCTGCGCGGGGAAACGGTTGGGCTCCCCGTCCTCTCCCCGGTCCGCCTCTCAGCAGCCAATTAGCGCGCGGCTTCTTTCGCCCGCCTCCCTCCGCATGGGCCAATCAGCGCGCGCGGTGAGTCTGCGCCAATCGGAGTGGTGCCGCCGAAGAGGGGGGAGGGGGAGAATCCCTCGCGCCGCCCCCGCCCCACGGCTCTCACTAGGCCGCCGCCTCCCCCCCGCCGTCCTCCAACCCGCCCTCCGCTCACTCACCGTACCGGTCGGCGCCGCGACCTCCGCCTCCTCCGCCCGGCGGCCGCGCTGCCTCCGGCCCGGCTGGCGGGAGGCGGGAGGGAGGGGGAGGGGTGCGTCCGGAGCAGAGCGCGCGCCCGGCGGCCGAGAAACAAGATGGCGGCGGACCCGTGAGGCGGCGGGGCGGAGGCCACGCCCCTTCCCCTTGGGCCGGTTCACCACGCAGGCGCATGACCCGGGGCTGATCTCGCGAGATTTCGTCGGGGCGGGAGGCGGTGGGGCCGGGGCGGGAGCCAACGGGCGGGGCGTGGGGCGGGACCGAGAGCGGGGACGGCGGGGAGCAGCGGGGAGCAGCGGGGCCAGGCCGCAGGGAGCGGAGCGAGGGAGCTGTCCGGGCCTTGAGGGAGCAGCCAAGGCTTTGGCCTGGGCCTGCGCTGGGCTCCTGCAGGCCCGAGGCCTCCAGGCGCGGCCTTGTCTACAGCCAGGCCCGGGGAGCTGTGTGCCCTGCGTGGGAGGAGGAGTGCTGCAGCCTGACAGACAACACACAGACAGACAGACAGACGGGTGCATTTGTAGGAAACAGGACAGATCTCCTCTGCCACGTTCGTTGGGGTTTCAGAGCTAAGTTGCCCTTAAGACTGCTTGTTGGCACCAAAATGCAGCAAATCCCTGCAGTTTTATTGCAAGTCTTGCAGCTTTGCGGTTTGGGGACACTCGCGAGGCAGAGCAGCCAAAAGAAATAAGAGATGTGCCACAGCTTTTCCTTAAAAGTATACCCTCCCTCCCCCCAGCTCTCACTATTCCTAAGCTAATCTCCTTTTGCAGTGACTGGGAGCAATGATCTGCAAAGCAGCCCCTTGCTGAAATGACTCATTTCTAAATCAATTAGCCAGAACTGCTGCTGACTGCTGCCGGGCCCAGCTGCCCAACCAGCCAGCTGTTTCCCTGCTGAAGGAGGGCGTTCTCCACAGCATCCACCCCTTCTCCTGCTGAATCCCTTTGTGTGCCGTCACCCTGTGCCCGTGATGCTCCGTTTCCTTCCCACCTGCTCTCAGCAGCAATGCATGCATTGTCTGGGGTGCTTTGGCTTCCCCAAGGATCGCAGCCATCTGCAGACACAGAGATCTCTTGTGTCAGCCTGCCCGAAACGCGGAGGAGCCAAGAAAAACAAACACAAAAAAGCAAAACAAAAACCCAACAACAACCACAACAGCTTTTTTTCCGCTCTCTGGTTTATTGGTGCCTGTGTAATTTTCTTGTGGTGGTTTGTTGATTTCGCTCTTACTGACATCTGCTACCTGCTCAATCAGGGCCTCCTGCGCCAGCAATGAGACCCAGAGGAGCTGTTCTGCACTGACTGCAGCCTCCAGCCGGCTTTCAGGAGGGCTGGGTTTGTTTGACGCTTATGGAAATCGGATGCTACAGCAGAGGTTGCACTCCTGGCCTTCCTCCCATCAGTCAGCCCTCTCCCATCCCACCTGGCTCCCGTTACAGCAGTCCTCTGCACTAATCCCAAACCAGCTGTTGCTTTGGGGCAAGCATCCCCAAGCAAAGAAACGCGTAGAAGAGAAAAATCTGGATGTGAATAATTGAGATCCGCCTGGACGCAGAGGCTTCGCCTCGTAGAGCTGGGAGGGAAGAAAGAAGCCATTTTGGGTCAGATGTGGGGCTCTGAGGTCCGGCAGGCTGCCTCCATTGGGTGCAGGGAGCTGCTGCAGCGAGCAGCTGAGCTCCCTGCGGGTGCAGGACCTGAGCCTGCTGCCCACAGCCCCTGCAACACCATAAAGCCGAGCCCCATTAATCTTCTTAAGTCGCCCTGACGGCAGTAATCACATTAAACAACTCCTTCCTCCGACACAGCACCAAAACGCAAAGGTGGTGGGAAGCCGGCAAAGCTGAGCTCCTTAGTGAATTAAGAAGCTGCTTTCCAGCATCGAGGCGTGCGTTTCGAGCACCTCTTCCCCACAAACAACGTGTTCCCAGAACTACGCCGACACCACAAAGCTGCAGACCCGCTTTGATGAAATTGCCTTTCCCCAAGAGACATTTCCAGCCCGTTTTTCTAAATATTACTCATAAAGGCCCCCTCCAGACAACCTCTCTCCCTCCCCGACTTTGTTTATATGCTTTGAATTCTGTTAGGAAACCGGCTCCCTACTTCAGCTCTGTTTTATCCAAGTTTCCATATTTAGTTCTTTCAGCTATTCCTGCTCCTTCCCCAGCCTTCCTGTGCCCGGCGCTGGGACCTGCCGTGTCCCTGCCGTGTCCCTGCCGTGTCCCTGCCGTGTCCCTGCCGTCCCCTTCCCTTGTGGCACCCCGAGGGGATTTTCTCCCCATCCTCTCTGCCCCCCAAATTGCACTTTGCCACCTGCAAACCCCAGCTCACTGCCTGGACCCCGTTGGGGTTTTACCCACCACCGGGACCCCCGTGCCGTGCAGCGGGGAGCGCAGGGCAATCCGAGCCTGCTGTTATTTGAGGGAGAGACAGAGTTAAAGTTGGTGAAGGAGGGTTTCCTCGTGGCACGTGGCTGCCATGTCAAAGGGTGCGCAGCCCGCGGAGGGAACGCAGGGAGAGCACTGCAGGAATTCACCATGAGCGAAAAGAGAAGCGGCTCCGGGGGACGTTAGTGTTCGTCTTTGGGGAGCCAAGGTGAGTCCAAGGGCAGCGCGGGACATCGCAGCCCCTCTGCTCCGACCGTCTCCCTCCTTCAGAAGGAACTGAGGCACAAAATGCACCCCGTTCCCTGGCAGGGCTGCGCTCAGGCACCAGGCAAAGCCCCCAAATTGGTCCCTGCTCAAGGGATGGCGGCTGATGATTTGGGGTCACTGCATCCCAGAGGGTTGTGTGTTCCCTCTGCCCCCACAGCATCCACCACAGCCACCCGTAGGCTGATGGCTGCAGGCATGGCCGGAGGCTCTGGGGCTGCTTGGTGGGTGTGGAGCCTGCTGGGGGGCTCTGGGTGATGGGGAGCGAGGTGCAGCTGGGGGCTCTCGGTCTCGGTGCTGGTTCCTGGGGTTCGGATGGTGGAAGAAGGGCCAGCTCAGGGGTCCAACCAACAGACACAGGGTCTCCTGGCGGCTCTCAGGGTCTGTTTGCCAGGTACAGCGTCCTGCTGGCACCTCTTGGGGACTCCGATTGTTGGGTATGGGGTCGGGCTGGTGGCTTTTGGGGTGCGGGTGAGGTTCAGCTGGGAGCTCTTAAGGTCCGGATGGTGGAAGGAGGGTCAGCGTGGCAGCTCTTGGGCTCCGAGCGGTGGGCTCAGGCTCGGTCCGGCGCCTCCTGGGGTCCGGCCGATGAGCACGAGCCCCACACAGACGCGGGCACGGCGGGCTCCCCCGGCCGCCCTCGGGCTGCCCCCAGCGGCCCCGCTCCCCGCGGCTCCTCCAGCCCCTCTCCGCCGCCGCCCGCTCCGTCGGGGCTCCCCCGCCCGCCGCTCCCAGCACCCGCCGGGGCCGAGGGGAGGAGCGGGCACGGGCGGCGGCGGCGGCGGCGGCAGCGGTGGGTGAGTGCCCGCGGGGCGCGGCGCTCCGGGACCCGGCGGGACCGCACCTGCCCCGAGCGTCGCGGGCGGCAGAGGGGCCGGGGGGGGGCGGCGCGACTGGGGGATGCTCGGGGAAGGGAGGGAGCCCCGAAGCGCGGGGGCTGCCCGGATCGGGGGCTCCGGGTCGGGCGCTGCTGGAATCGAGCACCGGAGCTCTGAACCGGCGGGGCAGCGCTTCCCAGAGCGGCTCGGGACCGGGAGCGCTGTCCCTCTGCCATCCGTCATCCCCGCTGAAAGCCCGTTGACGTCAACCTCGTCCCGTGCCAGCCTGGCCCCGCCGCGGGGGGACACGGGGGCAGCGAGCGCCCGAGGGGGAGCGGGGGGGGTCCTGCCTGGAGGAGGGGAGGGGGTTCACATCACAGCCCCCAACCCGCAGAATGCCGGCGCTCACCTCACCTCTCGCTGGTGCTGTGTCCATCGGTCCTGCTCTGCTCCGTCCGTCGGTCCTGCTGTGCCATGCCCATCAGTTGCACTGTGTTGTGTCCATCGGTCCCGCTGTGCCGTGTCTGTCAGTCCTGCTGTGCCCTCTGCGCGCACACAGCCAGGTGCTGCTGGTGGTCCTGCAGGGAAACCCCTCACAGGTTTGCTAAGGAGGAGTGAAACGGTGCTGCAGGGTGGGCAGGGGCCCCACTGGGGCTCTGTGTTAGGAGGAAGCCATGGGCGTCACTCCGGCCCTGCAGCACGGACCGGAGCCGGGCGGTGCTGCTCGGGAGCAGTGGCTGCTCTCACATCTCAGCGCAGTCCCCAGGGGTGGTGGTGTGGGGCTGTGGGGTGGGCGCCCACATTGTTCCTCACCCCCCCCACACACAGAGTTGCCCAGGACCCGGCGCTATGGGGTGGGCCAACGTCCGTCCCCACGGTGCTGCGGCGCACGGGGTTTGGTGACGGCTGCAGGGAAGCACAAATTGCGAGCAGGGCCCTCAGCCCCGAGCCAAAGGGCACGGCAGGATGCAGGCCGCAGCCCTGGGGCTGTGCTGGGTGTTTCCTTCCTGCATTGTGGTGACCGTGAGGTCCTGCAGCTCCCCACGTGCTGAGGACACGGCTGGGGTTTGGAGCGCAGAGCACACAGCCTCAGGCTGGGCTGCAGCCCCGAGCTTCTCCCCTCCATCCCCAGCACTGCGCCCGTTTCCTCCTGCACCAGAGCCTCTCCCAAACCAGCTCTTCTGCTGCACTCCCCCATCTCCCCATGCTCTGTGCCCTCTCTGCCATCCATTTGCTGCCCCAGCTCACGCCCTGACTCGCAGCTCTCTCTCCGGCCCCGTTTCAGGCCCATCCCTGAAGCACCGCCTGCGTTGTGTGATGCCTCCATCCTTCCTCATGCATCCCAAATCAGGGACAGCCACCCCCCCGCTCCATCCTTGTGCTGTCGCTTCTGATCCCACTTGAGCTGAGCTCAGTCCTGCTGTGCCACAGCCGTGTGGGAGCATCTCGGTGATGCACAGCGCAATTTCAGCTTATGAAAACACCAAACCCTCCTGCTTGTTAGGATCCGAGCCGCACGGCACCATCTCCTTGCATCCATTTCAATGCTCTCCAAGATGTTGTGTCACAGCATCTCTAATAGCAGGGAAACAGGCTCACATTGTCACCACTGTAGTGATTTAGAGCAGGATTAACAGCGTGGCTGATGTGCTGCACGGCTGCCTTCCCCACCTAGGGGTCCCACACGGGTCGCTGTGCCATGGGGCTGTGTGGGGGCAGGGGGTGCCCCAGAGCCCCTCACCTTTTGCAGGGGGACCCCTGGAGCCGGGGGCGCCGCTTGCTGTTTGCACACGTGTTGGCTGTGGGGTGATGGAGCGAGGAGGGGACATGGGTGCATGGCAGTGTCCCCAACGAGGCTCCCACGTCGGGGTGGGTGGGGGCTGAGGCAGTGCTGGGTGCTGCTGTGGGCAGCTCTGTGCTCCCGCGCTCTCCTGGCATCGCTCCGGCTCACAGAAGTCTTCCCAAAGCAAGTTTTTCTGCTGATCCCTTCAGAAGCGGTGCTGTAATTGTGCAGCCTTAGCATCTAAAGAAAAAAACAACCAACAAACAACTTTTCTGCAAACGCTGCACCTGACCTGCTGGGCTGTGGGCAGCGCGGGCGCAGCCAGGAGGGACCCCATGCTGCCTTATGGGGCTGTGCTCAGCGCTCAGTGCTGCACACGGAGCTGGGGGGGGTCCAAGTGCCCATCCCGGAGCTGCCCCCGTCAGCCCAACACGTTGCACTCGAGCATCGCAGGGCAGAAATCAGCGGGGGCTTTGATTCCCACCTGAGGGGTCTTCGCAGCTCGCATAGGGTGCAGCCCCGAAAGGCGCAGCGCTGGTGGCTCATTTGGAAAAGGAAGGGGAAGGGGGGGCTGCTGGGGGCTGGCTGCCAGGAGAAGGAAATGGGATGATCTCCGCCAGGGCAGGAGCGCTGCTGGGAGCGGCAGAAGCAGAGCGAGCGCAGCCCTTCCCCTGGAGGAAGCGGCTCCATGAAATATTGATGGGATTCGCGCAGCGCTGAGCGCTGTGAGCTGCATTGCGGAGCTCCGGGCCGGGCGGCGCGAAGGCGGAAAGCGGAGGGGATGGGAAACGCCGTCAGCAAGCGGCCCTTCCGTGCGCATCGGTCCCGGCCCCACTGCCGACCCCGCGGGGGGAATCTCTGTGGGGAGAGCTCCGTAAGCGGGGCAGCCCCATAAGCAACGGCCCTGTGGGGAGCACGGCCCCAAGAGGGGCTCTGGACCGAGCACGGAGCGGTGGGGCTGCCCGATGCGGTCCGTAGAGCGTCGCTGCCCCCCACCGCAGCCCCGCCGGGCGGCTTTGGGTCCTCGGATTCCTCCACGTTGCCGTGGAAACGATGGGATTCAGCGCAGATCTGATTTAACCGCGTGGCAGACGTCAAACAGGGACAGGGGGAGAGGGACGGCGTCTGGGAGGGGGGGGCGAACGTGGGGGCAGAGGTGGGTGCTGCCACCCATCGACAGACCAGCTGTGGGGAGGTGCTGCTCACAGCTCCCCATCCCAGAGGCGCTGCCGGCCCCTGCCGGGAGCACCGTGGCACCGGGGGGCTGCGGGTGAGCTGTGCGTCGGGGCTGGGGAAGAAAACCCCGCAGCCAAAGCGTGATGTGTGCACGGCAGGACTGAAGGATGCTCCCATACGGGACCGCCACCTCCAGGTCCCTGCTGTCCTCACCTGGGCTGCATTGCGCTGGTTTCCGGCTCAGGTGCACCGAGTGACGCCCCTTGCTGGGCAGTTGAGCTGAGCTGAGCAATCACCTATCAAACCCGAAGCATTTAATTACAATTAAGTACTTTTAGGGGAAATCGAGCCTTGCTTTCTCTCAGTGCAAGGAGAGCATGCTGGTGAGCTGTGACCTCGCAGCAGCACCCCCAGCAGGTGGGCTTTTCCCTAAAAGCATGGGCTGAGTGCCCCCACCTGCTGTTGAGGCTCCCCCCCCTGCAGCCCCGGAGCACGGGGAGCCCCCCTGCATGGGGACAACCAGGGCCACCCCTAGTCCCCTCTATGCCCTCCATCCAGGGGAAGAGCTGCCATGGGGCACTCATTTATCACCTCCTCTCCCCCCGTCTTGCTCTCCCCGCCCATCATCAGGGGCTGCTCCCCACCTGTGTGGGGCACCACTCAGCTCCTCCCTCCCCCCGGAGCCCTTGGCAAAGCATCATCCCAATTTTCCTGTTGTTGTTGTTACAATTATCGCTGTTGTGGTGGTGGGATGTTTGGGGTCGGGCTCTCTCACAGCCCCGGGTAGCACCATGCGGGGCCACCGGGATGCTGGGGCTCCATTGTCACCCTGGTCCTTCAAATGCCTGTGACCCTCTGAGCTTCCTCATCCCCCTTTTCCCGGCTCAGTTTCCCCAGCGGGTCCGGTGTGCCCACTGCATTCCATCGCATCCCACGTCATCCCATCCATCCCGTATCCCATTGCATCGTGTCCCACCACGTCCCACCCCGTCCCCCCGCATCCCACCCCAGCCCTCTGCACCTCCTGCTGCACGTCGCACCCCGCCGCACATCACCCGCATCCCATCGAAACCTCCTGCAGCCCACCGGATCCCAGCTCGTCTCATTACGTCCCACCGCATCCCCTCGAATCCCACCTCACCCCACCGCATCTCCCGCTGCCCCCTTTCCTTGGCACCGCCCCACATTCCCCCACTCCCCCCCGGACCACCGCTGCGTGCCCCCGCTCGCTCAGGGCTGGGAGGAGAACTGGGTCAGCCATGTCACCATGGAGATGCTGAAGCAGCGCCGGCACAACGCCGCTCTCCAGAAACCCGTGCAGCGTGCCCGGGCTGCCACCCTCCTCCCATAGAGGGGCCGGGGGCTGCGTGCCGGGCGGGGGGGCCGCGGGGCGCTGCTCTCAGGTAAGGGAGCTCGTGCTATTTGGGGGGGTGCGTGCAGGGTGGGCGCGGAACGCGGCGCGGAGCTCGTGTGGGAGCCGTCGCACAGCAGTGCAGGGACGCCACGGCCGCGGCGTCGCTCCGGGCCCATCGGGGCTGTGGGTCGGAGCCGTGGGGCACGGAGCGGAGGGGCTGCAGCTGTCAGAATCGCAGTGCTTTGTCAGGAGGGAGGAGATGAGATGCAGAGGGTGGGCAAAGGGGTGCGGCGTGCGGGCCGGGCTGCGGGAGTGCAGCAAATCCCTCCTCCCTCCGGGGTGGGATCCCTAGTGAAACCATGCTATTGCCACGGCGCTGTCATCATGTCGTCTGCTCCCAGCAAAGCTCCGTGCCGAGTGGGGAGCACAGCGCTGGGAGCCCTTTGTGCGCCGTTTTGGGGCACGTTGGGTCCTGCAGGGTCGCTGTGCTCAGGGACGGCTGGGGGGAAACTGAGGCAGGGAGCAGCGTGCACAGAGTCGGGGTGAGCATTTGGGCTCCCTTCCTCACGGCCAGAGGCCGCCGTGCCCCAAAGCTTGGCTAAAACTGAGCGCCGTGCCGGGGTGCAGCTGGGCGACATCGGCGCCGTGGGGATCCGTGTCCCCTCTGCGCTGCGTCTCCTTCGTGATGCTCCATGCCCTGCGCTGCCCCACTGGCAGCTGCCACTTCTCCTCTGCGTTTGTGGCTGCTTCTCTTGAAAGAGAAATATTTTTCCGGGCGCTGCCTCCATCCATTATCCTAAAGTGGCTTCACTTGGCCCGCAGTTCATCATTCACCTCTGCCTGGAAGATGGATGCCTCCCATCCCGCCGCGCTTTAAATATTCATGGGGAAGGGAAGCGGTGAGGGCTGGAAACCCAGCGTGGTGCTGGGCATGGGGGATCGGGGTGGGCACAGCCACGGCCGTGGTGGGGTTTGGGCCGTCGGGCTGGCGGTGGTGCAGCCACAAGGCACGCAGCCACCTCGGGGTGCCCCGAATATCCAGCTGAGCACCTGTGGGTACCGCAGTGCCCCCCAACCCGCCCCGCTGTCCCTGCAGCTGATCCCACCCCGCGACGCCTCACCATGTTCAACGGGGACGCCGGCCCGTCGGCGGGCAGGAATGTGGTGCGCAGCTCCAGCATCAGCGGGGAGATGTACGGCGTGGAGAAGAGCGCGCGGGGCAGCGCCGACTCCGTCAGCATCACGGCCAGCAAGAAGCGGCGCTCCAGCCTGGGTGCCAAGATGGTGGCCATCGTGGGGCTGTCGCAGTGGAGCAGGAGCACGCTGCAGCTCAACCAGAGCGGTGAGCACGGCCGGGTCCCCGTTGCTTTGCAGTGGGCGCCTGCACCACTCTGGTTAAAACACCCCGAAAAATTGATGTGTGGAAAGGGCCAGTCGAGTGATCTCCGGCTGTGGGAAATATTGAAGTGCTTCAAGAGGCTTTGCAGAAGGCGAAGGAGGGAGAAAGGCTCAGTTTAGTGCTTTGGTTATGGCTCAGTTCAGTGGCCTTGCTGGCGTTCCATCAGTCGGAACGCTCTCCGTAACGAGAGGTGCCCACCTGGAGCCCTGCAGCCCCACACATCCCAGACGTTCCAGGAGGGACGTCGTTATCCCAGAACTGAGGGGTGCCAGGGCCAGGCAGGAGCGCTCCCAGCGATGGGGCTGCACCTCCTCAGCCCATCCCTGATCCTCTGTGGCTGCAGCAGAGCGATGCGTGGTTCCCTCTCAGGGCTCCTGCAGCACTGCCACGGCCTTCCCTGCTCACCTTAACAGACCTCGGCGAGCTGGCAGGTTCCTGCAAGCAATGCCAGTGGTGATCGTGGCATCCTGCCCGCTCTGGCAGAGGCAGCGCAGTGCAGGGATCGGCCTGGTGGCACCGGTGGGGGTTGGGGGCATCTCCTCCCCTGGGCGCCCTCCTCCCTGCGCCATCTGCCACCGCTGGGGACACACAGCAGCAGTGGGGTGCCAGCACAGCGGGCGCCGCTGCTCCCGGGGGTGGCAACAGGGACGGCTCAGCCATAGACAGAACGGGGTCAGTGGGACCTGGAGGTGTTGATACGGGGTTGGGATGGTTTCTCCACCGCCTCACACCCCACTCCTCGGCTTCCAGAGGGCGGCCCCAAAAAGCTGCGCAGCAACATCCGCCGGAGCACCGAGACCGGCATCGCGGTGGAGCTGAGGACCAGGGTGACCCGGCAGGGCAGCCGCGAGTCCACCGACGGCAGCACCAACAGCAACAGCTCCGACGGCACGTAAGGACCGCTGGCACACGCGCGCCGTGGCGGCTGGGGGCACCCGGGGCCCCGTCGGCATCTCTTGCTCCATCCCACACAGGTTCATCTTCCCCACCGCACGGCTGGGAGCCGAAAGTCAGTTCAGTGACTTCCTGGATGGGTTGGGCCCGGGGCAGCTGGTGGGACGGCAGACTTTGGCCACCCCCCCGATGGGTGAGTGCTGGGGGTCCGCGCTGCGCCGCGCAGCGGGGCTGTGTGGGACGGCAGGAGCTGGGGCTGCGTGTGGCTCAGCTGAGGGAAGGGGACGTCCCTGACCAGGGCACAGGGCTGGAGCATCTCCGGGGGGGGGGACACGCGGCAGCTCTGGCTTCCCCTGAGATCCTTCCTGCTCCCCACAATGTAGGGCAGCCCCAAATCTCTGGCTTTTGCAGTAGGTGTGTTTTGAGAATGCGCAGGTTCATTCCTTGCTGTAAAGCCCCACTGGGATGCCAGCACACCTTTTCCCTGTCCCCTGGCTCTGCCAGGGCCACCAGGAAGTGAGCAACAGGGCCACAGGTTGTGCATAGATGCACCCTGCAGGGTGCACGGGGCGATTCTGGCAGCACGCTGAGTGCGGCAGCAGGGGACACGGTTCAGTGGGCATGGCGGGGTGGGTCGATGGTTTGACTTGGTGATCTTAGCTGTCTATTCCAACCTTAACGACTCTCCGACTGGGGCTGCCAACCCTGGAGGTGGCTTTTCCCAACGGCTGGGGACCAGCCCAGCTGACAGCCGGCAGGAGGCGGGTGCTGGGAGGATGCTGAGTGCGGTGCGTCCCTTCCCCTGCCCAGGTGATGTCCACATGGGCATGGCGGACCGCAGCGGGCAGCTGGAGGTGGAGGTGATCCAGGCACGGGGCCTCATCCCAAAGATGGGCTCCAAATGCATCCCAGGTAGGTGGGCTGCCGAGGGACGGCGCTGCGCCGGGACGCCGCCAGGAGCTGCTCTGAGTCAGCGCTTCTCCCCACTGCAGCCACCTACGTGAAGGTTTACCTGCTGGAAAACGGCGTCTGCCTGGCCAAGAAAAAGACCAAAGCGGTGAAGAAGACCTGCGACCCCTCGTACCAGCAGGCGCTGCTCTTCGAGGAGAGCCCCCAGGGCAAAGTCCTGCAGGTGACCCCCCCGGCAGCCCCTGGGGTTGGGATGGAGCAGGGGCCCGGCGTCCCCTGAGGGCGCCCTCCCCTGATGCCGCCTCTGCCCCACAGGTGATCGTGTGGGGCGACTACGGGCGCATGGACAGCAAGTGCTTCATGGGCATGGCTCAGATCGTCCTGGAGGAGCTCGACCTCTCCAGCACCGTGGCGGGCTGGTACAAACTCTTCCCCACCTCCTCTCTGGCCGACTCCAGCATCGGGCCGCTGGCACGCCGCCTCTCCCAGTCCTCTCTGGAGAGCTCCACCAGTCCCTCCTGCCCATAGCCGGGCAGGGAGAGCCATCCCGACCCCCAGGACTGTCTGTGGATGGCTGTAAATATCCCATCCTTTTTTTTTCCTCCCTATTTTTTTTTTAATTTTAAAGATCTCCTTCCCAACATCCCCTGCTCCCGGCGCGCTCCTCCCATGCTGGGAGCACGGAGACGCCGTTCCCTTCTTTCCATCTCGCTCCTTGCCCTGAGAGGAACAGGGAGCAACGAGAGACTCGGCAGAAGAATCCAACTCAGCACTACTTTTCGTTCCAAGGAATGTAGCATCTTCTCTTATGTAGCTCGCCACGTGCTAACGACACAATCACTGCAATACCCGAGAGGCTCCGGAGCAGAGCGGGCGCAGCCCGTTGGTTTCCCCACGCCGACCCCGCGGCACCGGTGCCCTTTTTCCTTTCTTTCGGTAGCGTTTTGCCTGTGACATTGCCAAAGCGACAGCGCACCGCGGCGCCCCCCATCCCCTCCATGCGGGGAGGGAACATCTCAACAGCAGCTCCTGCTGCGCTGGAAGCGGGGTGACGGAGAGGAGCCGAGCGAAGGACGCAGCGCTCGGTGGTGACGACGAGCGTTTGGGTGTTTGTTCGTTTTCTGTTCGTGTGTTCAGGTCGTTTGTTCTTCAAGCAGCATTCCGGTGCTCCCTTCCCCTCCTCCCCCCCCCGGGGATCGGTTCTTGTAGCAACACCGAGAATGGCGGAAGCTTCTTTTGTTTTGTTTTGTTTTGTTTTTGAAGGTGCCTAAATGAAATTTGCTGACAATACTCAGGGGAGACACCACTAGCGACTCTGCTTTCTTCGCGGAATACAGTGAGCACGAGGACTGTCCCGAAGGATCGGGGTCCAACAGAGAGGAAAAAAAAAGAGAAAAAGATTTAAAAAAAAAAAGAGAGAAAAACCAAACCACGACACCAAGAGAGGAGGAACGGGGGATCCCCGCCGCCCCCACGGCTCTGCCTTCCGGGTCCTGGCACGCAGGCAGAGCGGAGGGCGCAGAACAGACCCTCAGTTTGATGCGATTCGCTTTGCCAACTCGACTCCAGTGGGAGAAAGGAGGAGGAGGAGCTCTGTCAGCACTGCTCAGCACTGCGCTCTGCCATGGGCGCACAGCACCGCGCAGCCCCTGCGTTCTGCGCCACCTGAGAGCCCAGCACCAGGAACCCGGCAGCGCCGGCTCACTTCTTATTGCTCCTAACGGCATCGCGGTGCAGGCAGGAGGAGGGCAAACGGCTCCCAGCAGCACCGCCTGCCTTGCTGCAAACGCTGCGGGTGTGGGAGCGACTCCTGCAGCCGAGGCTGTGCTCACATCACCGCGTCCACCCCGTTCATCTCCAACCTTGTGAGCCCTGTGCCAGCCCTGCACCCGGCCCCACGCAGCACCCAGCACCCAGCGCTGCCTGCAGTGCAGCACAGCCACGGCCCTGCGCTCCGAGCTGCTGGGGAATGCTCATTGCACAGGGCATTCCTTGCATGCTGCAAGGAGCAGAGGATGGCTGATCGGACCCTGGGAGGTCGCTGCATCTTCCCTCCCCCAGGAAAGCAGATCCAGGCCCTTCTCCTTCCCAAATATGTTCCTCTAGAAAAGAAATGAGCATCAGACAGAAGGGGCTCGGTGCTCTGGTCCCTGCCTGGCGCTCCCAGCACCCACGTGTGGCGCAGAGGATCTCACTGCAGCACAGCTCACAGAGGGGCAGGAGCCAGGGCTCCTCGCTAAGCAGTGAGGATGGATGTTACCCAACCAGCCTTGGAGTCCTGGGGCAGCACAAGCAGTGAGCAGCTCAGCACTTCAGCTCCTGTGCAGAAGCAGTGCTGGCGCTGCGCTCCTGGAGCGCCTTCCCTTCCTTACCAGTTGACTCAGATGCTTCTCCCTGCACCGAGGGGAACAGAGAGTTCCCTAAGGGAGTGCATCTGCTGGAAAACAGCTTGAAGGCCAAGGAGCAGCGGCCAGGCAGCAGTGGCCAGGCGCCGTTCTTCATGGCTACACCCAAAGTCTCGCTGTGCTTCGCGTCAGAGATGGGTACAGCTCCGAGCAGCTCGCCCTGCTGGCCTCCAGGCTGCCGTGCCTCAAGACAGAGCTCTAAGAGCCAGATTTGCATCCCACGCTGCAGCGATGGCCTTCGACGCAGCTGTTTCAGTGGGAAGTCGTCCTCCTCTACCACATGGATGCACACAGGCGGTGGAAAGGCCCTGCTTACACCTCGGGTCTGGGTAGGAAGGTTGGAATCCCGCAGACGTGATGGCCTGCAGGAGAGCAGCAGCAGGCGGGCAGCGCAGCGGGGCACGGAGCAGCGGGTCAGAGGGGCGGCAGCGCCGCTGCTCAGCCCTCGCTGCCCTGTGCTGATCCTCACGCTGTGAAGATTTGGGTTTCGAATGCAGACTTGAGAAAAACGTACAGCAAAGGGCACGAGGTCGTCCTGCTGTCCGAGGAACCGCCGCACTGTTACAGCCAACCCCGAGCCGGGACTGAGCACAGCAGCACCCGGAGCCACCGGGGCAGCAGCTGCCCAGGAGTGGGGTCAGGACGCAGCTCTGCTGATTGGGATACCTCATTCTTTTGTTTTGGTTTGTTTTTTTTCGCCCCCCCTCCCTCCCTTTCCTGTTTTCCCCTCTCTTTTAAGACCCAGACCTTCGTGCACTCTACCGCATTCAGGTTCTTTTTTGTTGTCATTGTGCAATGAAGAGCAATTCTTGGGGGCGGGTGCTGGTGCGTGTGTGTGCTTCCCCTGCTCTGTGCCACTCCGATGGCCAAGGAGCAAAGCGAAGGGATGGCACACGGGGCAGCAGAGTCTGTTCTGCTCCTGCGCCCCAATGCTGCCCCGTAACCCAACCTGGGGGCGATGCAGCCCTCAGAAGGGCAGGCAAGGAAGCTGTAGGAAGCTGAGGACGATGCACAGTGCACTGTCCCCACTCGCTGAGGCTTCACCTGCACAAGGATGGCTGCGGAGCACAGAACCCCACGGTTCCCTCCTGCCTTCTGGGCCCCATGAATGTTTGTTCGCACTTTGAAGTTGGTGGCCTTGTTTTCTGAAAAGGGCTCAATCTTTCCGTGCAGTCAAATCGGACTCACCTTCCCCATCGCACTGCTCTTCTCCCCACCTCCAAACCCAATCGACGAGCAGCTCGGCTGGACAAAGCACCGCCAGGGCTGCGGGATCTGTCATGAATCTCAGCAGTTTGTACGTTAGATACGACACCAGACCCTTCTGGCTGGGAAACAGCCATAAGGGGAGCAGCAGCTCAGACTGAGGTTTGTCCTGAAACACAGCAACAGGAGAACAGCAGCACTTTGAGCACAGAGAAAGCAGCGCCTGAAGCGCTCACCTGCCACAAAGCTCTGAATTCAGACTCCCAAACTTCAAGATGGGAAGAATTTTACCTTCAACCTCTTCACACGCAACCAATGCCTTTTGAACTTCATTGCCAACCCCTGGAGGAGCAGAGCAGTGGCAGCGTGTGCTGCAGACACCCGGCCAGGAGGAGCCCCCAGCCGCTGCTCCCAGCAGCACAGCGCAGCTCCAGCGCTGGAACACGGCCTGCAAACCGTGCTGCATCCCCAGCAAACTGCATGGAGGAAGAATTTGGAAGCCGTCAGAATTGGTGAGCCACAAATCGCTGCTGGCTTTGCTTTCCGTCCCCATCTCCCCCAGGAGCGAAGCTCGCTGTGTGCATCCCACGCCTGATGGAGCTCCTCTGCCAGCACAGCACGGAGCAAAACCTGCCTGCCTTCACCATGCGCTCACAGACTTTGCTTTGATGACAGATCCCCACGTTCAACAACGCCACCTTCAAACAGCGGCACAGGGGGGGGCAGGGGGCTGCGCTGCGCCCCGGCTCCGCATTCAAGACAAGGGGAGGATGGGCTTCGATGGCTCCTTGAGGTGATAAGATTTAAGAGGGAAAAAAACAAAAACAAACAAAAAAAAAAGCAAATGGCAATTTTTTTACTTGTGTTCTGTAATGTTTTATATGTGCGTGGTCTTTCTTAATGTAAAACTCTTGTATTTTTGTGGTTTATATGCAGCAGGACTGATGGCTGTGAGGGTGCACGCTATTTTGTAAGATACTCCTAAGCCAGTTTTCCCCAGGAGGAACAAACTGACTCAGTACTCACATTTTCATTGGCTTGTACCTGCATGTACAGTACGGGGCAGCAAGTGAAGATGATTAAAGCCAGCTTGAAAACCCCTCTGTGCTTGAGTCGAGCGTCACAAAGCGCCCAGCCACCAGGCAGGGGTGCAGCCCAACAGCAGCCCCCCCCCAGGGCAGATTGATGGGGAGGAGGAAGAAATGCTCTCTTCTGAGGGACGCCCTGAAAAAGAACAGCTTTTTAGTGAAGGACAGAAAGAAGCAGAGCAGTGCGTTAAGCACAGCTTGCGTGCATCAGAGCAGCATCAGCTCCAGGCCAGGCAGTTCGCTGCAGCCTTCCTGCGCTTTGTTCTCTGCAGGCCCCCCAGCCCAACCTGCTCTCACCACCACCTGGGAGCTCCAAGCCTCCCAGCAGACTGCAGTAGGAAGGCTTGGTTTGGAAGGGACCCTGAAGGATCACCAAGTTCCAACCCCCTGCCATCAGCCGCCAGCTGCTGCAGCTCTCCCCGCAGCAGGAATGCAGCATCGCAGCCCACGGCTGCAGGTTTCTGTTGTGTACAAAGCTGTCAACTGACCTGAACTCACCCTGCTCAGCCCCCCCCGGCTCCCAGCACTCCTCCGTGCCCAGTGCCGGGACGCAGCCCTGCTCACAGCCCTGCTCCCAGGGCACAGAGGCCGCCTGCATCCACCGCAGCGCTGCTGTAGGAACAGGCAGGGCAGGGAGGTTTCACCGCAATGTTTTATTGGGGAATTCACATACAGACAGGGAGGCGCAGCCCGCACAGCTCGGGCTCCTTGCTGACGAGTTGAAGCTGTGGTGTTCTACCGAAGATGAGAAAAGAAATCTGATCCACCCACTCTTGTGCCTGGATTAAAATGGCTGAAGCTAGCAGGGATGGGTACCGGGAATACAGGGGAACAAAACAAAATATGAAAAAAGTATAAATTAGGATGTCGTTTAAAAGTGTAAGAAAACTCGCAGCGGGCTCTCAGCCCTGGATAAGTTAACTCTCCGTTAGTTAAAAGTTAAATACATCAATACCACAGATCAGACAGAAAAGCCACTCCGAAGTGCAAGTTTCACATTCTGACAGCTTGCCCCCACACTGCGCGAGAATCCTGCTTGCTCACGGGGGGAGGGAGGGGGTCTCTGAATGCCTTTGGTTCCAACGAGGGTTGGCGAGCCAAGCACAGCTCCAAACTCCGCTCGAGGAAGAGGTAGCAAGGCTTGCTTGCCCCTGGGCTTGGGCTAAAATCCAGCGCCTCAGCACCAAACACGGATCCCACCCTCTGCCAACCGAAACCCCGACAAATACTGGAGCTTTGAGTGGTTCTTAAGAGGCCTGAAGTCGCGGGCAGTAAGGAGGACAGGTCGCCCCGTTCCTCGGTCACACCTCTGCTAAGATCCCAGGACGTTTCGTGCTACCCAGAAGCGTTAGTGGAGGTTTGTGCAAGGAGGGGGTCCACCCCAAAGTGTGCATTGACTGTGCTAAATAGAGGGGAGCTCATGTTCTGGTCACCGAGGTCGCACCGTGTCTGACAGTGACGAGGCAGAGGTGGGTCTCAGTTATGGAAAGAGGCTGGGGCCGGGCAGCCAGCCTGAAAGAAAAACCCTGAATGTCTCATGGAGCAGTTTTGAAAAACAGAACAGAAGGCAAAAATGGTCACAACGCGCGGGATCATTTCCACAGCTGAGTGCTGAGGGACTGATTGCTGCCCTGGGCACCTCCTCCACCCATGGACTGTCCGTATCCCATCACACCGTTGGCTCCATAGAAGTTCATCCCAGCCATCTGCTGGGTCATCTGCAAAGGGGAGGAGAGAGAAGTCACCAGGCCGAAGGTGCCAGCCCGCATGCATGCCTCCCAGCACATCAGCCTTCAGCAAGACTTCGTAAAGAGTTACAGCAAACAGAGGCTTAAACGAGACAGCACAGCTTCACTGAAAGCTACCCCGAAGGCTGGGCTCCACTATCACCAGCCCAGCAGTTAGACCTACAGAAGCAGACTCTCCTCATTCTCAAGCACGCGACTTTTTCATCTTATTACAGAAGCTGTGCCATTGCAGAATCACAGTGTGCCGTTATCTGACCTTTCAGCAGCAGCACACAGCATGAATCAGCAGCCAGCAGAGCCAGCTGCGCTCCCCTCTGTCTCTCAGCAGCACCTCCTGCTATTCCTCAAACCAGCCCATGAGCCCCCAGCCTTCAGCTCAGTGCAGACTGACGCTGCTGGACGGACACACAGCACCCAGGTCATGTGAAGTTCTGGCTTGGACAGAGGACACTGCAGCTCTCTGCCTACAGCTCGCCATTCCGAGCAGCCAGGCGCTTCCACCTCTTCTTGGACCTCTCCACGAAGCCCTGAGCTGCTGCTTTCCCACCTGGATGCATGAGGATATCACCTTGGAGCTGATACCTCCTCAGGCGCCTGCCCACCTATGGAGCTGAGAAATTTCAATGCCAGCTGATGCGACGCTGATTTTTTGTTCTCCACCCCGCGAGCCCTGAACGCATTACTGCTTTGTGACCCCTGCATGGCAGCAGTGCCACTGTGCCTCACTGCCCCAGAGCACAGCAGTCACAGGTCGGATTCAACCACGCTCCTCCTCCGTCCACCCTCGGGTCAGCAGGAGCCACCCCTCACCTGAGCGATGTTCCACTGGAGCTGCTGTGCTGGCTGCACGCCGTAGACAGGCTGGGGGACCGCCGCCATGCCAGCGACGTAACCGGCCTGCTGCGCAGCCATCATCCCGTTGGGGACACCGATGACAGCTGCCTGCACGTTGCCCACGTATCCAGCAGGGATGGCCATGGGGGTCACCATCCCCGCAGCCCCAGGCTGGGCCATCACACCCACCGACGGGGCCATCATGCCTCCCATCACGCTGCTGGAGGGGGGGACTCCCGGGAAGCCCGTGTACGCCGCCGCAGGATACGCCATCTGAGCCGGGGCCATGAACATCGCTCCTGAAAACAGGCAGGGAAGCGACGAAGGGAAGGAGGGCTGTGTTGGCTGCCAGGGTGGGAATGCCGACCTTCAAATCCGACTGCAACGCTCGCTCGGCTGCGAGTCCAGGCTGAGCAGCTCATCGTGCTCCTCAGCAGCCCTCGAGCACCAGCCACCCTCCCACAGCTCTGCCTGACAGCCATCAGGGCGGCCCACCCACCCAGCATCAGCGCTGCTCTATTCTGAGACCCGTTACCTTGCGCAGGCAGCTGAGGTGTCTGAGAGCCGTACAGGGAGAGGATGGAGTCTTTAGAGAGCTGCTTCTTGCCCGCTTCCTCCCCTTTGCCTCCTGGCTCGGGGAAGAGATTCAGGTTTTCAGGAACAGAACCGGCGCTTCCAGATGTAGGCATAGAGCCGGAGACCTGAGAGGGACGCAGCACAGGTGCAGCAGCATCCAGCACAGGGGACAACAGATGGCTCCCCTGCTCCTGCACCCCCCCTTTGGCAAGCACTGACGCTCCCTGCTTACCTTCCTGGAGTCAGAGTTCAATCCCACTGATGCAAAGAGATCCAGGTCCTTCTCCAGGCTGCAGGGCCGGCCGTTGGTGAGGGCGCTCGGCACAGGAGCATCTGGGAGAGACAAGGAGGTGACAGACAGGGAAGGGAACCACTAGAAGTTGACGGAATTCAGGAGACCAAGCACTGCACCGGGGGTCACTGCAGTGAGCACAGCCAGGCTGGGGGCCTCTTACCAAGTCCTAGCAAGTCTATGATGGGCTCAGTGGATTTGGGAGAACTTTTCCTAGATTGCTGTGTTTCTTCTTTCTTCTGAGGCTGGGGAAAGAACAGCAGAAGTCTGGCTCAAGTCATCTTTTAGCTCTGATACACAGGAGGCTTTAATGAGATTAAACCCTTGAACATCCCTACCCCCCACTAGACAGAGCAAGCATTACCAAGTTTTTTGTCCCATTATATCAATACGAATATGCACGCTCTAAACCAGAGAGAAATAACAGCCTGAGCCTGAAAGCCAAGCAGGCAATAGCTGGATTCCAATCTGCCCTGTGCTGCAAAGCAGAGCACATCTGTTCAGTATCTGCCTGAGTGGTGGAAAACAAGCTACTGCCATTAGTGTGACTCAAAGCATCCACTGCTATGACTGAGACCTGAAAAAATGCTTCCATATGAAGCTGCATTGCCTCTGCTCTGTGTGAGAGCAGCCTACAAGCGACCCGTGGCCATAGGCTTACCATCTTCACCTTCTCAAAGATGATAGGTTCCAGCTTTCTTTCTGATACTGGCTCGTTACTCTTTTTCCATTTGTCATCCTTTTCTTTCTGTAGAGGAAAACTCTGATGTGAGGGTCAAAGCTCACACCACCACACGGTGAAAATAGGGACCAGGCTGTATTGGCTGCTGTTAACCTAAAGGGCCCCCATCTTGCGCCCACTTTTCAGACTCCTGATGAGCCACCAAGGCAGCAGCACAGACCAACACCTGAAATCAGTTCTGCTCTCAGCACAGAGTTGCACAAACGACCTTCAGAGGTTCCTTCACTGCTCCTCTGCACACCGACTGAACCCGGCTGGCCTCGCAGAGGACATCAGTCACTGACACAGGAAACACGCAGACCTATTTTCATGCACTCACCTCTTACTCACGAGACAAACCCACACTTAGCTTCATGCCCACAGGTGCTGAGGGACTCACCCTGAACGCGTTGATGTCGATGCTCCGGTCCAGGTATTTCTTCTTCTCGTACTTATCACGAATGAAGCCTTCCACAGCTCTGCGAGCAGCTTGTTAAAGACAAACAGCTCAGGAATGGAAGATGTGCATCGCGCTGTTTGACACGCGGATACAAGGTACAGGCTGTAACTAAACTAATGACTGCCTAACGAGCATTTCCAGCAGCAACTTAAAATAATATAGTCATAGTTCCAACTACTTTAGCTACTCAATTTTGCACCTCTGGGCTACTCCAAGCACGACAGTGCTGTAACAGGTACATCAAATAAGGAAAAGGACACTTCCTACTATTTCTCCTTCGATACATATTTACTTTGACCATTGCTCAAGAGCACACATGCCATCAGTGCAAGACACAGCGGTCACAGATGGATCCTCTCCGTGCAATCCAGGAGCTTCTG